AAAGGTGGAAAAAATACGTCGTAGGCGTATTCCTAGATATATCGAGGGCGCTTAACTGCCTCTGATGGCACTACTAATCAAAGATATGCAAAGCATAAATTACGGCTTTGAGCTAATCGCCCTAACAAAGAGCTACCTTGATGGCCGGAAGGCCCACCTGGTGATTGAAGACGTGACACTCTCGACGCCCCTAACTAAGGGTTGCCCGCAAGGTTCAGAATTCGGACCGGATCTCTGGAAATACGCGGTCAACCTGGTCTTGTCTGGTGATCTTCCCCCTGGTACATGTATCCGGTACCCCGACTATTTGTTTGCGGAAATGGCAGTTGCGAGTGACAGAACGCCGTGTTCAAACCTCAAACCATGCAACTCGGAGTAGGCCATGTTAGGCCTGCTTATTAATAGTACTCTGACGCTCCGGATGGCGACAGGCGACCATGGGTGTTCACTTCCTGGTCTTTCGCCCGGAGGAGGTAACTCCGCGGTTATATAAAAGGGCAAAGTTTTACTGGGGTAAAATCCAGAAGAACATATCAAACCCCCCACCACACACAGAATGATGTTGATTAATACTGTTGACTTCATGTAATGCTTAGTATTGCATATTATTAACAAAAAAACAATATAACAGTCTTGATAACAAAATGTATATTTATATAATGTTTGTAATTTATTGTGTTCTCAGTTCAAAAAATAAAATATTCACATAGATATTGTAATAAATAATTATATTTTATTTTTTTTAAATAATAGTGAGGTAATAGGTATTTATTAAACAATGCAAATCTAATTAATTTATACAACTTAAACAACAGATATATCAATTGAATTGAACATATCGTTATTATTTAGTGTGTTTTAACACGTTTGTCAACAAAATTATTGAAAGTATCTGTCGAGTGATAATTATTTAAACTCATACATATTATACAAACACGTAAAATTATTATTTTTTTTTAAGTTTTTTTTTTTTTTTTTGTAAACAAAGTCGTAAAATTAATAAAATATAAAAATCACTCTTCTGCGAGTTGAGTTTGTTTTTTATTATAATAGTTTAGTCAATATTGTGCTTTTACGAGTAAATTCGAAATGATCATCTATCTTACTATACTCGTGCTTTGTATGGGTTTGTATGACTTTAGCATAACATATTATTTTTGTTCGAACGGGGAACAATTGCCGCTTAATAAGCTTTTGCTGGGACTCTACAAATGCGACGAATAGATAATATAAAGTCCCAGCAAGCTCCCCCCTCCTACGTCCGGAGAGACCAGACCGTTGACGTTCGTGTCGGCCGACAAGCTTGATATTTTTATTTAGAAGTTTTTGTCTTTTTCCAACAGTCGAACGACACGCAGCGTCGGGTTCGTTCGTCCGCATGTGCCGCTGAAAACCTCGTGTGAATACGAAGTACAAATTCAATCATTGTCACCATCATCATAAGGGACCAGAGTTTTGCTGTCGCTTCAGGTGATATTTACCAACTATTATATTTCCTAGCCGTGGTCAGTGGTCAGTCAAATTTGTAGATATTGCGAACTTAGTGGTTAAATTGGTGTCCATTATTATTATTATTATTATTATTTATATTTTTTTATTATACTCGTTGCGGTACTTGAGATCATTGCACTCAAGACCATATTATTATTGTTTACCATAGTTATATGCACATATTAAATAATATTATATACGTGCAATTATTATTATTATTATATTTTATAATCGATTTTTGTTATTAATTTGGGCGCTCGCATGCTAGAGAGTTAAGTAATATTTCTAAAATAATTACTGATTGTGGCACGGAATTTATGAGCAAAATATTTAAGGAATGCTGTTAACTATTTACAATAGAAAATATGAATACTAGGTACACCGTATCACCCACATCTAATAGCAGATTAAAAAGATCTCACCGAACGTTAGCGGATATCTAAGGCACTATGTCAATAAAAACCAAACAGATTGGAATAATTATGTAGCTTTTGCTATATTTGTATATAATACAACAGTTCACATGACAACTAATCATTAACCGTATGAACTTGTTTACGGTTTTCCTGTAACCGTCCCTCACACAGTCAAACATTAAATCGAACCTCTCAAGCAAGATATAACTATGACGATTATATATGCGAATTAAAACAAAAACTTCAGGAAACATGTAAAGCAACTAGAAATAATGTATTAAACAACAAAGAGAAAACAAAGAAAAAATATGATCAAGGAAAGCTACAAATAAATGTAAAAATTGGAGACCAAGAATAGATAAAAAACAAACAGCAGGAGGGATGTTAGAACCAAATGGGTGGGCCCTTACAGTGAAATAAAATTAAATAACAACAAAAATATAACTATTAAACGAGGCAGAAAGGAAATAAAATTACACAAAAACAAAATAAAACTTACAAATTAAAATTCAATAATTCATAACACACAATGCAAATATAATAATTACTCATAAATCAATTTGTTAAAATATTCAAAAGCCATATTATGTCATTTTGTTTTTCCAATTTTCTTACATTTTTTCTCATTTTCAGAATTGTTTTTGGAAAAACGATGGCAAATCCATTCAATTTAACTCCAATACACAACCAATCAGGAATTTATTTCCACACAATTTACACATATGCAACTCTCATTGGCGCTTCTTAACTCATATTAATATTACAAACTATAATGAAAAATACAATAAAATTGGTAATATAATAAAATATTTGAAGAGTCCTGTAAAATGAATAAATCCCTTGAAATTTTTTACTACAACTTTATTCCCAATACAATCACCAAGTCTATCACTTTTTATCAGAAATTAGTAATAATAAAGAACATATACTGAAAATCATCGATCAACCTAAAAATAATTACCGTACCAAGAGAGGCCTAATCAATTTAGTTGGAAAAGTATCTAACGTCTTATTCGGTGTATATTATGACACGATAAAGAATATTTTTACTCTAAAATAAAAGATCTTGAGATTTCTAACTTGCATGTTTTTTAATTATCTGACGCACAAATACAAATTATGCAATCAATTATATCAAACATAAACTCATCATTACTAGAAATAAATAAAAATCAAATTAATTTAGCCAACAAATGCAATTATCTACTTCATGAAATGCAAGCAGAAAAAGCTGAATATGTATTTAAAATTTTTAAACAGTCTTAGAAGAATGAATATCATTATTAAAAATAATCTTAACACAAATATATGTTTGAAACAGAACATTTAGTAAATATAATAAATATGGCCCAATAAGGTTTTGTTCACTATATTAGATACAAACACCCTTAAAAACCAATTAAAAGGTATTAAACCACAACTACCTATGGGATAGGATATACAAATATACCTAGATATAATTTAGGAATATCAGAATTGCTACGACTAATTTCAACTAATATAGTGAACATAAAAAATGTATTAAATTTCATCATTGAAACACCTTTAATTGACAGTTACAAATTTATAACATACAAAAACATACCTTTAGCTATTAATTTACACGATAACAACAATATAATGATAGTCCCAAAACCTGATTATATAGTTACTTATAGACAAATTAAGATTATATTACCAAGAATTAAGTGAAATACAAGTACCAAAGTGTAAGAAAATCATAAAAATACTAATATGTCCATATGATTAAAAACTACATCATTTGGATGAATCTTACGAATTAAAAATACTTAGAAAACCAGCTATATTGGCCTGATTTGTGTAATATAAAAAATTTTAATTTTAATTTTAGTACATGGTATAGGTTAGACAATATAAATTCTTGGATATATGTTACGATTAAGGATAATATTTTCATAAAATGTAAAAATAATTCAGAAACAGTAGTAGTAAGCATAAATGGCACAGGTATTTTAGATTTAAATAATCAATGTGAAGCCAATACTGATAATGGGACATTATTAATAGCAAAAAGAAAAATAACCACAAAAATATACCAAGACTTTATCCCATAACTAGATGTATCAATGAACTGGAAAACTCAATTAAACATTACAAATATAATTTTGAATAATTCAATTATTCTTAATCAAGGGAATTCTGTGGTAAAAAAATAATTTATTCAAACTAACAGAATATTCTAAATCACTAAAAGAATTAAAATACACAAAAATAAATAGTAATATTATGGACACAATAGAAATAGATTATACATAATTATAACAGTAATTGTCATCAGTATAGGTTTAGTAATAACAATAATTTTATATTTAATAATCAAAAACAAACATTGTAAAACATTTAATTCTGTAAAAACTCCAACAGAAAACAAGATATTATATGATACTGTAGACACTCCAAATCATGAAAATCCATTGTTTATGATAATATAAATTTGTAATAGGCAATGAACTTTCATTTAACCCCGGGGGTTTTGAGAACCTTTGCACTCAATTTAGTTTAGTAAGCACATTAAACAATAATATAGTAATGTAAGCAATATGTTATATATTTTTTTGTAAGCAACTGTGTCACCAAGACAAGTAGACATAGAATAAGCAGCAGTCATGCATAAGAAACTGATTCATACAATACTGTGTTTTAAAAATATTCTTTTTAATTAATTAAGTAATAAGAGTTTTTTTAAAGATACACAGATTTTCATGTTTGAATTTATAACACAAAAGATAACAAATTCTTTATAACAAATATACTCCTCGGCCTTAACTGAAGATGTATATAACATCATGTATAATTGGAGCTGTTATTATACCTGTATATTGATCTAAATCATTTTCACTACATTATATTATATTTCATATTATTTTTAAGACGAACTTTGGCAAGTCTTTGGGTGTCCATGTCCCTATTTATTATATAATATAATATACTCAACGAGTTCCAAAAAAATATTCTTACAATATAACAATATTAATATCTATTAAAGTTATTATATTACAGTGTGCAGTCAGCAATTTTGTCAACTAAATGTCACTGAGTATATTTAAATATATTAATTTAATTTAAGATTACCTGAGCACATACATTATCGCCACCGCTTGAGATAGTTAATTATTACTCTTATACAAGACAAGAATTATACTTTTTATCACTCAAATTTGAGTGGAATTAACATTTTACAAATTTTAAGTGCTGTGTAAGAATATAAATATTTTATTAAAAAAATCTGTAAAAACCAAATAAATATTAATTATTAATACGTGATAAAACCAATAGGCAATAATCGTACTTACTGGTTACTACTTAGTACTTAGTACTTGGCAATTTCGCACAAAGGTAGACTAACTAGACTACATTGACAAATCTGTTTAAATGTATGTGGCAACACTGTGATTTACCGCGACCTGTTGTTATTGTACCGTTTTAAATACGATTTACGGACAAAATTAGAACTATTGTTTGTGCTAGTTGGGAACTTGTCGATCAGATTCGGGTCAAAGTTCAGATCCAGTCAACACTCAACGGTGTTAATAGCATTATTATTATTTGTGTATTGATGTCGTTCTTTACTTGCTATTCTTATCGTAACAAATAATTATATAATTTTGTACAAATTATATACATTGTACAAGTTGTTTTTGTTTTTACTTTTTAGTCTCCGACCTCCTTCTTACTTATTTTTGTCAACTTGTTTTCGTAATCGATCGGACAGTATTTACTTGTCTCGTAGCTCCATTAAAGATACTCGTAAACAGTTCTCCCAATTTTTTTGCCAAAGTAACCGCATATCGATATCGTTTTTTTAAACCATTATCGCTTCTCGACCAACTTTAAAACGTTGATATTTAAAGTTTTTCGCGAACAATTGCGTGCATCAAAATACTAAGTAAGTAGGTTTATATTTATGTAATGTATTAACGTGGTTAAGATTGGTAATTTGCTTGTATTTATGCCTTCGCTTTACGGGTAGATCATAAATATTATATATGTCTATATTATAAGTTTTTGATAATATTACTTATATTTTACCGGATAGGCACTATAGGTATATATTATTTGTACCAAATACGTTCTAATACTTATTTAGGTAAAATAACCAAGTCATCTGTTATAAATAGAGCTTGGATGTTAATGACTAAATTTTCATTGGAGTATGCATTTCAAAATTTCAAAATATACAAATGCCTTTAAGTGTATTAAATATACTTATTTTTAACAAATATATGCAAGAAAGGTGTTAATGTTAATTCAAAATAAATTATAAGCACTATATTAATTATGTACTAAATATTATATCTATTTTAAAAAGTTACAAAAAATGGAATAATAGTAATTCAGAATAATTTTTGTTTTGTAAATTACTTTAAAATAACTTAATTGTACCTAAAATACGTAATGGAAATAAAATACTATAAAATATAAATATAATAAACTAAAATACATGTTACTTATATTAAATAATTTTCCAAACAGACAATCTATACTGTTATACTTACCCTTAACTTAAGATAATGAATGATTATTGACAGGTGATTCCGACATTCGTATATACATAGTAATGTAAGTATACGAGTTTTTATTTTCCAACAAATTATAGCCGTTTGTATAAAGTGTTACGTTTATATTATATTAAAAGTATTATAAATATGCTACTAAATCTAGAAATGATCAATATATGCATTTATATATTCAAAAATGTCAATTATGTAAAAATACGCAGAAAAAGTTTTTTATTAAATTTGTATTATACACTTCATGAATCCAATTTATATCACACTTCGGTGTAATTTTGGCTGCGCAATAAAAAATATACTAAGTCATAATCATCCGAGCTCTAGTTATAAATATTAAATACTTAGACTAAATCAACTAAGTAATATTGTTTCATTTAATTTTTAGATATCTTATTAAATTGAGTTTTTTAATAATTTGTAGTGATTTTAAAATAGGTAGGTACCTAAAATACATCTACCTAAAAAACCTTGAATATGCACCTATAAAATATAGATTGCATATTATATCTACTTATGGTATTAAATTGTTTAAAATTGTACAATACTACACTTATACTCAATTGATAGAAATTTAAATTAAAATTAAACATGTATATCTACATATTATTTATTTTATTTTATTTAGGTACCACATTATCTTCTATATTATTTAAATATTCATTCTAATTATTATGTAAACAATATTTATCTATCTGAATTAAATTATAATGCAAATAATTTACCTATCAAAGCAATATTTCTCGATAAAAAATATTTATTTGTGGTTTTTTTTTAACTCATACATGTTTAAATAATAATAGGTTAATTTATAAATTTGTATTTATTTTAACTAGGTTTATTCAATGTCTTCAGAACAAATATTTTCTATCAAAGACAAAGTCTTTGTAAAACGACGTGGATATCCTGCTTGGCCTGCTTTAATATCTGGTATTAAAACTAACAATGACTCACAACCAATTTATGATGTATATTTTTATGGAACTGGTGACTACAGTGAATGTAAATCAGAAGTACTTAGTCTATATGAAGAAAACAAGAATAAACTAGGTAAGCCTCGAGGAAAACTAAGGAAATTTAAAAAATTTGTTGAAGCTCTTGTGCAGATAGAAAATGATGCAAAATCTGATTTTCAATCTAAAAAAAATGTTGGAGTTGATGTTAAAGAATTCATGCCAACAATTTCAACAAAAAGCTTAGATCGAGAATTATCTTTAGAAAATAAATCTAAAAATGTAAATAAAATTGAGTTAAATTTGAAAAATGAAACAAAATTAATTAATGAGACTAGTTTACTCAAAGGTAAAAAAGTTATTAAATCAAGAAAGAGAGTATCTAATTCTATAGATTTAAAAAGAAAACTTTCTGATGTTAAACATGAAGAAGTTCCAAAGAAGTTCAAAACTTCAAGAATTATAATGCCCACAGAAGATCAACCTATAGTGTTGTTAGAACCATTGAACGACATTTTTTTAGAAAGAAAAATGAACGAAAAGCAGGTTGGTAACCTTTTATTTTTTTTATTTTTGACACAGGTTAGGAAAATGACAGTGTTGTAAATCATATTTTTAATAAGTATTTTGGTTTATTTTTAATGGAGTTTTAAGTACATAATAATATGTGTTATTAATTAGAGCATGGATTTCTATGTAATTACATATTTTTTTCCCTTTTACTGTTTTGGATTTTTGTCAGTTAGGTATCTTCAAGAATCATAACGATTTGAATCTAATGGTGAATTTTTCTTAGCATATTTCTGCATATTTAATGGTTATTGCATTTTTTTGCATTTTTTTTTTTACAAAAGTATTCCATTTTAAAGCAAAAATTTAAAAAAAAAATTGTGTAAAATAATATTTTGTCAAGTAGAAATATTAAAAATAATTTTGTTGGCATTGAATAATAACCAGAATGGAGATTTATATGTAATCACCTATTATTTTATTTTTCATTTTTTTAATTATCTTCATGACTTATAATATTTTGAATCTAATGATGAAATTTTATTTGTATATTTCTGCATGTTATTACAAAATTCAAAATACATTGCATATTAAAATAAAATTTTTTTATATTCATAGTTTATTTAAGTAATTAATTATTATAAGTTGTTTAATATGTAAATTTTATATAAAAAAAAAAACAAATTTTCTTGCATATTTTTATGATATTTAATTTGTAACAATTAATACAGGGACTACCTATTTCATAGCATTGTTGTATAAATATTAATTAAGTTTTAAAGTATGTGATGCATCAGGTACATATATTATTTCTCTTCCATTTGGAATAGAAAATACAGGATTTTCATTAGAAATGTCGAAGGATCTCCACAAACCAACATTACATCCACCACAGTCACTTACACAACAAATTGTTTTAAAACCAATTTGATTAAGGTTTTTAAATAATATTAAAAGAATCTCTTTAGTCATTTTTTTTATCAAAGTCTTTGTAAATAGGTTGTTTCTATGGTGACGTCATACCTTTTGCCATAACCACTTGCATTTGAGAATGAGAGCCCACAACTTCATCTCAAAGAACATCATATTCCATAGTAGTTGAAATTTTAACTTCATTAGACATTAAAACCGTTAATTTTTGATAGCCCTGCAAGCCATCTCCATTCGATTTCATTATATTAAGAACATCTTCAAGAACACCATTTCTCATATTAATACTTTTGGCCCATCGTTGAAGACAATCCTATAATAATAAAATGTGTAAGAAATCATTTAATTCTTTTAATTATAACTATTCAGAATTTAGAATAAAGTAGATAATAAATTATTTTAAGATATTTGTGAAAAAGTTATAAATTAAAGTTATTACATAAATTAGTTAATATTATTTATCAGGCAGTGGATATTTCAGTTTATCCTTGACATAAACATAGACTCGTTTACTAAAATATCTAAGAAAAAATGCCTTTGAAATTTCATTTCTTGACCAGTGACCCGTTGTTTTTTTTTCATTATCAAGTCCAACTGATTTTTGGAGAATATTGATGACAAATATTTTCTGGTTTGTATATTAATATCTCGGGTTTTATTTTTTGATAATAATTGTATTAGTCTTGTATTTTTTAAAAGTAAATTTGCCACTTTAATTTTTTCTCTAAATTACTGACTTGAAACTGTAGATTTTTGTTAATTTTTTTGTAGTCAACTTCAGATTTCTTAATGGTCAATAGTTTTTTGTGTTCTAGAAGTAGTTTATTGTATAAGTGTTCATAATATTGAGTTGTTGACAAGCCCAATGAATGAGTTGGTGGCTCTAGGTCACTTTCTGAATGTTCATTATCATTTAGAACCAAAGTGATAATCTCATCATGTGTCTAAAATAAAAATGATTTAATAAAATATCATTGTATAAGTAAAAAAAAAATGATTAAAGATACAAGTTTGTAATGTGATGATGACTTGAGGCAAAGAATAAAAGTAACGAAAATTTATGTCAGTCTAATGGCCACAGCTGCCGCAGACTTAACTTAATAAAAAAAAAAAAGTTACGAAATATAAACATGACATAGTACTATAGGATACTTTAATTATATAGTTTCATTGTAATGTTTGTAGCTCATACTCTTATAGTACCTTCTTACAGGTACAGATGTTATACTTAAAATAAAAGCAAACAATTATATTTAACAATATTCACTTGTCTAAATAATTTAGTCTTTATTCGTTTTTGATGCTAAATACCAGACTCTGAAACACACTTGTCATGACCATTAGGTAAATTAAGTGTAGGTATAGCATTAGTTTTTAAAATTTTGATTCTTAGAGCATACCCCAACAGTTCAAATTTTAAATCTCTTACATAATCATTTTGTTTAAAGTGATCAGAACATATCAATAATTTACTAGGATTCCATGAATCATTTTTCCTACATTTATTCGACCACTCTTTAAGAAGAAAATCATTCTTTGGAAACCTTTTAAATTAAAATAAACTTCTATTATAATATATAAAAACTAATAGATAGATTAAAAAAAAAAATTTATAATTTACCTGTGAAAAGACAAATTGGTTCTATCAGTATTTTTAACTTTGCCTGAATAATTTTTGCATGAAGCAACAGCACAACATAAACTGCCTTTTGATTTTGGAGTCGCTATTAAAACAAACTAATTTAGAGAAATTTACTATTATTAAATAATAAACACAGTTTAAAATGTAAATCAACCATCAACGTATTAACTATAAATTAAGTATTAACAATTAACATTTAACATTAGTGCTATCGCTATGATAAACAAATAATTGTGTACGACGGCTGACGTCATAGTATAATTTCCGCTACTCCTTTTTTTTAACAGAAATTCGGTATGAGACAACCTCTATTATCTATAAACCTTGGGATCTCTATGGTTTTGAAATTATATTTCATAAATACAGTGCCAAAAACAATTATGTGCTATCATTTAGCAAATATTATTTATTTTTTTTGTGGGATAGGCCATAGTGGATTTCAAATATTAAATCAATCTGAAACGTTTTATCATGTAAAACAGTTCTTGATTTTTTGTGTGATAGGCTGTTTTGGCTCTATGCGCCTTAATTAAAACTCATTATATCAAAACATAAAAAATAACAATATTCCTTCATAAGTCAGTGAAATGAGTTTTTATGTTAATTTTTTTTTCATTTTTATCGAATCTAACATAAATATTTGTTTACATTTTTCTGATGAATCATAATCCAAATTTTCAATAATACTTTTTATCCCTAAGGTCAGTATTAAAAATCATAGCTTCAAGCCAAGTGTCCCATTTAGTAACGAATAGTTCAGGTGATAAAAGAACGTCTGAAAGTTCTTCTTTATAAAAGTATTATTATTGCTTGTTTTTCTTTTTATCAAAATAATACAAAAAAATATTATAGTAATTATTCATTTTCCATAAATTTTCCAAACAATTTTTCCAGGTCCTTTTTATTAAAATTTTAAGAAATCAGTGTTATTTTTTTTTTCAAATTAGACCAAATATTCCAAATTATGCTAAATATGATAAATATTCTATAACTGATGAAATATTTTCAAATATGCTAATAAAACTTTTTTTTTGAACTTTGTGTTCAATGAATCATTCACAATATTTACTCTTGTAAGACTTCATATACTCAGTAATAATATGTAAAAACATATAAATTCAAACTCTAAAGTCAGGGCTCAAAAGTTGTATAATGCATATTTTTCTTGGTTTGTCCTAGAACATCCAAAGTAAGATACAAATATGTTTCACATTTCTCTGATGTCATACATGAAACATGAAATTGTATTCTGCTATTTTTTGCATATTTACAGTTTTTATTGCTATTTTGAGTATATTTGCACATTTTGTTGAAAGTAATGATTTACTTAATTATATTTTTAAAAATTTGAATTTTTAAAATAAATAGGTCTCATCAAATAATATTTCATGTTTTTTTATTTATTTCAATTTTTTTTTTTTTTTTAGTAAAATTTTACTTTTTAACTGTAAATTATATAACTATATTTAATTTTTTTAAGTTAAATGCATATTTTATTTGATTTTTGAACTATTTATAGCGCATATTTTGGAGTCTGTAAGTACATATTTTAGAGCTAAAAAGTAGTATTTTTAGTGCTTCAACTTCCGAGCCCTGATTATAACATACTAAGTATTAAAATAATTTAATTTATTGGCAAATTCATTGATTTTCTAAGTAATTTTTAAATAGGTAATGAAATTTTTTTTTTTATTAAAAGAATATTAACAATCTATGCAACAAGGCATATTAAGCAAATTTAAACATTAATAAATATACAACTTGAAACACAAGAGGTGGGAGGCCATCTGGTGATATAACCCAATGTTTATAATTTTTTAAATTTTTTTTAAAATTAAATTAAGTTATAATGGTTTGTTAACCGTCAGTCATTTAGTAAATCACGACACCATTTTCTCTTAAGACGACAAGGGGGTTACTAGGAAGCGAATTGGATGCAAGTTTAGCTATTAAAAGATTAAAATGAAACTGTAATTTAAAGTGAAATTTTTTATAATGTTTTGTGCTATTTAATTTACTGTTTTTATTTTAAAGTCGTTTTGAAGTTTTGAATTTGATATATACCATGGCACAGAAGAGATAATAATATAGAGAGTGATGAATTGAAAGGCTTGAAAGGTATTTATTTGGGATGGTTTTGTACATCCCCAAGTTTGGGATAAGCTCAAATAGGCCTTAATAGGAATTTGTAGATGGTAATTTTTGTGCGGAAAGTTAGTTATGTTTTAAGAATTGATCAAAGTAAAGTCGACTATTAAGAATTTTTCTTTTTGATTTGATGTGAGATCAATCTTTTGTCAAGTATGACACCAAGATATTTTACTTTTGAGAAAATAAAATTTGATATATTATTATGTTTAAATATTTTTTGAAAAAAAAATACAGGCCAAAACACTAATTCATTATTTCATTTATATCTCATATCATACTAATATATATTATATATTAATGTATTTAAATAAAAAATAATACATTTTAATATATTTTAATTTACAGAATTCTGAAGCTGCAGATAAAAACTTAGCTGCTCATCAACGAAATTCCAAAATTTTTAATACAACTAAATCTGTGCTCGAATCAAGTGATGTTTCGTTAAATGTTTGTAAAACTACAGAATCCTTAGAAATGAATGATAGTGTTGTATCAAGTAACAAAACGTTTTCAGATTCAGGTCGTGTATCACGCTTTGGTCGTAAAATTAAGTCAAACCGGTTATCTAATCATAAAATTGTTACCAAAGCGCCAAAACATTTGAAGGAAAAAGATTTAAAAACTTTAAAAACTCATAATTCTAGCAATGATGAAACTAATGATTTCTTTAAACAGAATATCAAAACTAGAGGTAAAATATTAGTAATTTTTTTCTATAGATATGTGTATTGATTATTTTATGTTAACTCACATGCATTGTTTAATTAAATAATCTATGTAGGAATTAATTTTCCTACGATTTCTTAGACAGTGTTTCTGTAAAAATATATGGGATTTTCTTTTCCTTTCAAAATGTTTCTATTATTAATAGAAATATAAATTATACAGTTTTATTTATTTTTTTATCACTACATAACAACTTTATATTATTTATTTTAGTGCAATTGGTGCTTTCAAACTTTAGAAATGCTATTTTAGTACAAATAAAATGTGTTGCTTAATTACATATTTCTTGTATTTTCTATATTATTTAATATACTAAGCTGAAAGTTATAAAATAAATGTTCATAATTATTTGAAAAGTTTTATAAACACTTGAATTAATTAATTATTTTTAAATATTTTGATTTATAATAATATTGATTTGCTATTTACAAAAGTATTACAAGATTATCTTATACTGATGAATAATCATTGAAGTTAGTGATATTACAAACACCTTGACAGACCTTGCCTACTTTTTTTTTTATCGTTAAAAAAGTGTTATATGCACTTTTTTATGATAAATATATGCTATATTATGTAATTTTTTATTTCAGGTTCAAACACAAAAGCAAGGAACAGTTTGAAAAGTAATGCAATGTCAATACCGTGTTTGCTGGACAATGCATCGCAAACAATTTGCCAAGTGAACAACAACAGGCATGAGAAAATTCCACCAATTGACTTAAATCAAAATGCCATGGGTTCTTTTTCAAATGTAGAAGTTGAATGGACAAAAATGGAATCAAACAAAGCCGGTCAAATTAGTTTGCTACTAACAGAAATAAATTTGCTTGATTATGTAAATAAACTATGCTCTGCTTTGTCAATTAACTATACCAAGTTAAATTATGAAATAGCATTAAAGTCATTGGAACAGATCAGTGAATTACAATTTAATGCTCTTATGTTAAAAAAACATAGATGTATTGTTGATAAAATAACAAAAGTGACAAGATATGTAGGTGATGTTAATAATTGGTGCTTAAGCAATCAGGAAACTATTGAACATGTTAATAAAGCAAATCAAATTCGATGCAAAGCCCAAATGGTATTAAATAAATGTAAATCATTATTCACTGTACCCAATGGACAAACATTCCAAGAGGTATACAATAAAGAAGTTGATTTATTTATCTCAAAGACTCAACATTTGACCAATGATCAAATTTATAGTTGTACTTCAGATAAAATGTTCATATGATTTCTTATTGTATATTTGCAAAAAAGTGCAAATTGCTACAGTGATTTTCTGTATTTTTAGTTTTTTGTTATTATGTGAAATTTTGTATTTATAAGTATTCATTTTGAATTCTAACTACCTACTATATATAATAAACTTTTATAGCTTATTACAACAATATAGATGTTAAATAAGACGATTCATGGTACAGTATTGCAAATAATATTATAATCATAGTTTCATTTATAATTTTTTGAACATTATTTAATGTTGTACATTTGTTGGATTAATTTTGCCATTTATTAATGCATTATTTCATTAATAGTGCTGTTTTTCATTTACAAATTTATTAAAACATAAATTAATGTTTAAAAGTCATATTTAAATTGTATTGATCATATTTATAATATTTTACTTTTTATTATGGTTCTAATAAGTTTAATAATTATTGAATTTATTAGTGAAATAGTAAAAGGTTACAAATATCTTTAAGTATAACTAAGTAATGAAAATTATTATTTACTTGCTCAATAATGGAACAATTTTGTATTACATATTATTAAGTTTTAAATTTTTTAAGTTTTCCAATTTTTACCTCAAATAATGAACTATTTATATTGTATAAAAGTACCCATTAAATTAAAATAATTAATTTTATTATAACTTAAAAGCGATGTAAATGAGTTGTATTAAATATGTATTTGCTTAAAACTTATTTTTTTCTTTATTATGCTAGTATAAAATATGTTTGGTTAAAATTATTATATAATATTGTAATATTATTTTAACCCTGGTTTAATATAGGGTGACCACTGCCTATACTTATATAATTATGTAAAATTGTAAAAAAAAAAAACTGAACAGACAATTTTGGCTTAACTTAAAAAAAAACTCTTCAACATTTTTAGTGGTTTTTATATTTTTAATATTTTATTAAAAATGTTAATTTTTGTAATAATGATAAGTATGTTCCAAGTTTCTATGATTAATATTTTTGTGTACAGTAATAAATAATTAACAAAATAAGAAAAATAGTTTTAAGATAAACTGATAAATTATTATACTTTTAAACAAAAATGTTATGAACATCTGAATTTCAATTATTATAGAATGTACCATTACTAATTTTTTAAGTATAGTAAAAAAAAACTTTAAAATGAAAATTGTACCTACATAATTTTTAAATTTTATAGAATGTATTATATTTTTGATGTTATTAATTACTACAATTACTACATAATATGAGAAATGCTTTATTATAATATTTTCAAGCTTATTTGCTAAGAAACATCTTATCAATATTTATAAAACAAAAAATGTATTAAAATTATTAAATCGGTTAACAGCTCTAAAAGAATTAAAATATTTTGAAAATTGTATTTGTCTAGAAAATGCTAAAATGTTTATATTTTACTAACATTTTAAGTCTCTCCTTTCCTTATACGTACAATAAGTAGGTATGTACCTGCAAGCTATGAGATTCATTTTGAATTTCCCACTGAAAGAAATGCATCCTTTATTATGACGATCGAGTTACTTCTACAATAGCTAATAGTGTATTAAGACAAAATACATCATTGCAACTTCTAAACTAATTATATTTTGTTTTTTAACAGTATTTTGAATACTGTACATAGGTACTTGCTTTTATCTACTTTATTGTTGAATTTATGTTTTCAAACTTTATGATGTATATACATTAAGCTAAGTTAAGCATATTGTCTTTCTTAATCGCAGGAAAAACAATATACATTTTGAACATAAACTAATATTTTATTGATAATATTTTTTTTAAAGGATGAAACGGAAAACATAAAGGATCGGTTAGTCGTAGCCATTAGCAATGGCTCATTACTTTTTAGATACCTACGGTTTAACGTGGTTATTTTTTGTAATTAATTAAACAAATTGAAATATTGTTAAATTGATAAAGAATCCAGAATTAAATTTCATTCTTAGAGAGTTTTTTTAGATTTTCAATTGTGTTGGCTTACTCTCGTACAATACAACAGAGTACCTATTGACTACAAAGTATGTGCACTTAATATAATAAAATATGTTTATTTAAACATTTTAAACTCTGTTTAACAAAAGGTATTTCGTGATAATATAACAACATTATTATGTAAATGGTAGATACTATACATAATATTAAAATGTATATAAAATGCGATTTTATGGTTTTTATTTTAATTTTGACTGCCCGTAGATTGGATTGCAAAAACGTGACGGATAACGTAATATAACGGTTAATGTAATACTATTTACATGGGTTTATTATTGCATGGACACGCACCTTATTTTACGACCTCAATCGAAATAATCGTCCAGGTATAATTTTTACGACTGTTTTACTATATTATATCGCCCTGTCATATTTTATATTCCATATATCGCATAATATTGTACGCCCCAGAGACAGGTATTTTCAGGATTTCCGCGCCACGGTGATAATTTTTTTTCTTTCTCATCTATCCATCTAAATGCCTATTTCTAATAATAAAAATTAATTTTATAGTTAACAAATTATGTAATAAAAATATGTAATATATGATTAAAGCTGAATTTTTATGTTCTAAAAAATAAAATAAAATGTCTTAAAATCATAAAACGATAAAAATAAATTAAATAATGTACCTAATTATTTAAAAGTAAAATTTACCTACCTATTATCAACTATCAAGGGATATGGTTACAATACTGAGGACTGTCTTTTAGTTCATTACGTGATTATATTGGTCAGTGTAAAATTATAATAATGAAATTAATAAAAAAATAAAATAAATTAGAATTTGTATAAAGTGAGTTACGAAAAATTATAAATGCAATTAATATGTTTATATAAAAAAAATTACATACATGATGATTGCTCCCTCCCTCCAGTGGCACTATTTACTATCAAATACGCCGCAAGTCCTTATGTAATATACCTAATATATTATACTGAGTAGGTATGTTTTTAAGCACTCTCGTATTTCAATTCATTCTTAATTCTTAATTCTTATGTTTAAACTATATGCATTCATTAAAAATTCTGAAGATTAGGTATTCATAAATACCTAAGTACTACACGTAAAGCTTACAAAAATATTATTTTTTTTATGGCTTTTATAGACTTATTGATTACGCGATTACTTTATGAAGATTTATCTGGTTTTACAAATCTATTTTCATGCGCTCTATTATTATGGGAAACTGTAATAAATTTTTATTAACAGTCGTAGAGGTGCCTTCGTACGATGAACGTTTTTATAGTGTTTATAAAATTCAAATAGAATAATATATTACTATATGTATCCAATAAATTAATAGCATTATATATTTATATTCAGTTGTAATTTTTGAACAGTATAGCATGAGTATTTTTACTTGTTCGATATTTAAAATCCATACAACGTTTAGACTTTCGATATTCATAAAAACATACCATGTTTGGGCATTAAAATTAAAGATTATATACTTATATATAATATTATGTAATAGGTAAATACTTGTTGTTAAGAAGTATATTAGATGACAGCCATATTTTTCATGTAGGTATAAATAATACATTTATCATACTTTAATATTTATGATGATTCTATAGTTCATGAAATTCGTTTATAAAATAACCAATAAAATATTAAAATAATTAAAAAAAACTTTTAAAAATTACATAGATAGATTTTCGATATGTCTGTGATATCGCATTCAATCGCAATTTACTATGTAACCACTATAATTTTCGTTTTAAATTTATTAGTAAGACGGATTATTAAAAAAATTGTTACCAAGAAAAAGAACACTAAATTCCGATTTGATTTAATATTTATTATAAATATATACATATCAAACCATAAAAGCTAATTGGGAGTAAAATAATTAATAGTTTTTTGAAAATTTTGTTTGTATGAAAAAAAAAATAAATATTACAATCAATTACAACTAATACCTTAATTAATAAAATAACAATTTAAATTTATTGTATACACGAATAAACATGTATTATTTATCGTATAGTTTGTGCGATATGCTTGTATCGTATATAAATAAATTTCTCATTAAAATAATGCAACCATTAATAGTTGATTATTATTTAAAATACTTGCATATGTTCACTGTATTTATACATAGATACATATAATTAATATATGGTAATATTATGTATTATGTAAATAGTATATACATTTTTTTAATTAAAAATTATATCCACGGCCACTCCTAGTCATGGCTGTAAAATAATTTGTTATTTTCCAGTAATAATATAGTATTTATATAGTACTAACGGATGTTAAAGTTTTGTACAAACGTACCTATTGTTCTTTGTCAAATACTTTGTTTTTTGTTTACATAAAAAATTGATTTTGGTTGTTGAGATACTAAAGTTTCTTGTTCTTAGCGTTCGACATGCAGCGATGGGATGCGTAGGTAGTGTGTTGGTTTCGCGGATCGTTGGACAACACGTCACGATAGCCTGCAATACATTACGGAAATACTGACAAGCTACAAGTCTTCTTACGTTTTGCGACGTATTTTTTCCTTTTTGTTTTATACAAACCATTATTTTTATTAGAATTTGCCCTACGATATGCTCCATTTAGTCCTGCTTTAAGTATGCTATTGTACAATCAATCAAAGCATTTATTATAATTGTCATTTTATAAATTCTCTGTTGTACGCACTAAAACCTACGGGCTACGGTGTAACTCACAACCAAATTAAACACATGTTACACCGCACAAGATCTATTATACCTACTGCTTGTGTATTGTCCAAGTAGTATATTGTTGATCATTATCAAATTGATATGAATTGAAAACAATTAAATTTGAATATATTTGGCTTTAATAAATTATTTTATTAATTAAGATTTTTCAAATACGCTCCATCTCTTATTTAACTATATTATATTAAATTATATTTAATAAATTTGTATATAAATCTTATATTGTAATACTAAAAGTTAACAGAAGTAAAAATTGTGAAAATTGTTGGTTCAATATATTATTTATTTTGAAAACAAAATTTATAAATCCTATTTTCAGAGTAAAACTCATTAAGTTACTGTTATACATTATAATGAGCTATGTAGACGCGTTTTAGTTTTGTAAATTAGAACATATTTAGTTAAATTAGACAACGAATTATTAACTATATTGGTTGGGTGTATTATGTAAATTATATTTAGATTAGTAAATTTCGTGTATGAAACGTCTAGC